TTCAACTCTCTTCTCTTGAACTTTCACCTCTGTCTTTTGATCAAGCACTTTCTAGTTAGGCCTTTTCCCCCTTTCTGATTCACAGGTTTTGCCCACTTTTCTTGTGGGGTGTCTGAAGGAGGACGAAAGGTCTTTGGTAAAGGCTAGTGGATTTTCCTCTGATAGTCCTTGTTGTTTCGAGGAGTCCCCCTCTTGTCAAACACAAATCTTGGAGTTGAGTATTTTTATCCCTTACATTTGTCCTTCTTCACAACCTCATACTCTTCAGTAGTTTTCTCATCATAAAAAGCATTACATCTTGGGCATAACTTAGCCTTTGATTCTTTCACCCTGCACTTTTATAGAAAGTCAATCTAGTCCTCATCAGCTTGAGGATAAACTGATTTTAATCTATCACCATCTTCCATGTCGAAACCATCAGTAGCTTCAGCCATCATAACATCAAGAGGTCAGCATACAATGACTCCTCAACTTCTAGTTGGTCAGTGTTAACTTGTATCTTTGGCTTCTCACCAAATTGAAGTATGTTATCTTTCATAGATTTCTGCACTAAATTCCTGAAAAGAACAAATTGAGAAGTTTTATGACCAAGAAAATTATAAAATTTGCAAAATCCCCTTTTCTTCTTTTGGTCCAAGGGTGGATTTTTAAGGCCCAAAGGCACTATAGTTTGGCCCTCAATTACTAACATATCAGATATTTCATCACATTTTTTCATGTCGAAGGTATAAGTTTTTGTAGGGAACTTATCATTTTTCCCAAACTCGATAAGATTCTTCCCATTTGACTTCCTTAGTACCTTGCAAGCATAAGGAGGCTTTGACTTAAGTTCAGACACATTAACTTCACTTTCATTGACCATATCCTCATAGTCTGAAGTATATTCGTCAGTTGCAACACAAGCAACTTTTTTCTTCCTTATGATACTTACTAGTTCTGGCTTTTTCAGCTTTCAACCGCTCAATTTGGAGAACTCTATTTGCTAACTGAACCATATCTCTAAGATATTAAGTGTATAATTTCTTCCTAATAGAATAGTCTAAACATGTTGCAGCCATTTCGACTAGTTCATGTTCAGGAACTTATTGAAACATCTGGCTTTAAGAAGTATAAATCTATTAAGATAAACATCAATCGATTCGGACATCTTTCATTTCACACTTTCCAATTCTGTTAGGCTTATTTTTTACTGTTCCATATAGAATTATTCATGGAACAATCTCTCCATCTGAGTCCAGATATAGATCGAGTGTGGAGGTAGTGTTGTGAACCAAGTAAATTCATTCTTTGTGAGGGAATTCGAAAAGTACTTCATTTTCAAATCCTCATTATTTTCTATGTCACCAGCTTCAGTTTGATATCTAGCAACATGTTCGACTGTTGACTCATCGATTTCACCAAGGAACTTAGTAAACTTTAGGACTTTCTATCCCCTAGGTAATTTTGTTTGTAAAACAAAATTAGGTAATTTTGAAGAATAAGTGGGCCTTTGAAGGTCAATGCTCATGCCATTTCGCACCATAATGTGTTCGACAACAACCTCTAGATTCTGCTCTCCAGCTAATGTATCATGTCAAATCTGCCTAACCACGTGGTCGGCATTCTGGTTTTTATTAACCATAACGACAGGAGGGCGATCGACCATCCTAGGGATATCTTCAACCTCATGAGGAATTTCTTGTTTTGGGTCGATCGTCTCTTCGACTACTTCTTTTGGTCGAATGTTTACTTCTAGTCGGGGTTGTACAATAGACTGAACCGACGCCTTAGGGACACCAAGGAAATCTCATATTCGAATCATTTGAGTCTCCAACTATTGATAACTTTGAGTCGAACTTTGTATTAATGGTCTAAGTATAACACACATTTGTTGAGTAAGCATATTGACCTTTTGTGATTGCTTTCATATATCTGCTATCTCATAATAGCGATAGAACTTGTGGTAAAAGTCGGGATCTCTTAGCATGAAAATCCCATCCCTGTGGGATAACCAAATTGGTTTCCCATAGGCGCTGATCCATGATAAGGTAAGAACGCTGACGCCAAATTTCTAGAAAATATCGAAACATTACTATGTAAGCCTGCCATTACTGAAGTTGGCATCGCATAGATTCGTTCTCCATCTTAAGGCATTGTGAAACTGGGAATATGTGGCCTAGAAGCACTTGCCCTTATTGATTTTGGAGTAATAGGATGACTATGTGGGATTACCAGCTCACTTTGTGTATTCGAAAACACAGCCATAGTACCTGAGGTGGATACACTAATGTCAAATGCTTGTGACACAAATGTGTTTCCTCCTAAGGGTTGTTCCTCAGTTGGATTAGTGTTTCTAAGATCTATTACTTTCCTACCACTTCTCAATTTCATTCACACAGTGTTGAAAAAATATATATGAAGAGCATGCAAAAACTATGAAAATATGTAAACTTAACACAATGGTCCCACCAGGTGTACCAATTTGTTTGCACAAGTTTCTGAAAAACAACTTCTAGCCTCTTAATAAAAGTTTACTTACATGATCGGCTACAAAATCCTAGAACAAAGTTCTAAGTTTTCGAAAGGTTTTGTTTGAATTGGATACGAAACTGAACTTGAAAAAAGAAAACGCAATGCTGAACTTGAAAGATACATTTCTTTGAACTTAAAATGGGACGCATGGATACATTTTTTGGAAGTCACTTGTTTCTCTCAAACACCGGTACTTTGAGTTTTCTCCTTACAATGTTACAAATGTGACCCCTAAAATTGACTGTAAATTTTGCTTAAATAGACATGTAAAAATAACTTCTACTTAACACTCGATTATTCATAGCTTTCCACATATTTGTTTCATGTCAAACTGCTTTTTGACAACTTCTCTCACGTATACGACAACTGCTCATTGAAAACTGCTACTTCTAACTGCATGTTTCTTCTATTACACTTTCAACAACTTTAGCATAAAATTTTACTAAATGTCCATACAGTCTTTATGGAAATTCATACTAGCCATCTCTTATGTATCTTACATTAACCATCTTCGACATCTCACTTTTCAATCCATCATATCCACCTTGCTCTCCAATTTCGACGAGCACTCTTTCATTATGGGACTTTAAAAGTTCTTGAAGTCTTAGTCGAAAATTCTCAGTTAACAAGTTAATGGATAGTGAACAATTACCAGACAAAGAGGAGGGCGAGTCTAATAATCTGCATAATTAATTCTTAGATAAATTTTTTTAGCTAATAACTATTTTTGAAAAATTATTGTTAAATAGTGTAATTTTAAAATACTTATTATTATTTGACTTTTAATTTTGATATATTTATTTTTAGATTATTAAAAAATTTATTTGAATTTAACTTTATAAATCATATAAAATATAAATTCATAAATTTCGTATTATAACTATATTATTAAATATATTAAAACAAAATATATAAATCAAAGAACTAGATTTTAAAATTTTTAATATTCAAACTTTAAGATGTTGTCGGGAACCCTCCCTAGATGTTAAAAATGTTAACACATTGCTAGAAGATTTATCCTTTGCAATTTATGTCACATCAATTATGCCCATATTACACTATTGACATGATATCTCTATTTTTTATCATCGGTCGGAGTTATCTCATGGGTGACTCCTTGCAAATAACACGTGACAATGTTGCAAGGGGTTTTTGATCTCGGAAAAAAAAGTCGTGGAGACCATTTTTTTGAAGGGTCTTTGTCCCTTCAAATATTTGTGCATTTTGAGTTTTATGTGTGTCGCAAGGGGTTTTGTCCCAGACAACTTTAGCTTTTTCTTGTAGTGCATTTTTTCCGTCTTCTTCTCTTACTAACAAAAGAGAGAATCATATTTATGATATCCTCAAACCCTAATAGACTAGTGTCCAAGATATACAAAAGTACGAGTATTTATCGAGATATGCATTATCATTATAAAAAAGAGGGAAATGTGGATCTATGTGCTTGTATGTATGACATGTAACAACCTATTATAATTTTATGATAACAACATTCTAAAGTGAATTTTTCATCAAAAGTGTTGATCAAATCATTTTGATTTTGATGATGACAACAATGTGAGAGGAAGACATCATCTGATGTGATGGTCAAGTTGTGGTGTTTAGAGATTAAGATATCAAAACTTGTATTTGGAGGACAACATTTAATGTCAAGTAGCGTTCGATGGAATTAGCAAAAAATGATGGAAGTCTCTCATTCTTAGTAATAGAGTTGTTAATGTCTTTTCACACGATCTCTCTACTAATGATGAAATGATATTTTGTAGAGCTCTTCAATCTAATACGTGTGCTCTTAAAACCCCCTTAAAAGAAATCTCTTTAACGTTAGAATTTTGATGTTTGATATAATTCCAAATATAAATGAATCAATGTGATATTCAATCATAACATAGTTTCTTAACACCCTAACTATGAGGAATTATAACCACTAATTAGATTAAGTGTGTAATGATCTTTTCCACTCTTTATGAAGCTCATAGACCACTTGCCAACGTCTTACAAAAATAATTATGGGACAGGTATAAACCATGAATTTATATAGCAACATATCATGGATTACACTTTATCTAATTGAAATTTTTCAATAGGGTGGGATAGGAGTATGGTGAAGTTGGTAGTTGTAATGTTGCAATTTGTTTAAAGTTTCACATTGGTTAGATTTTTGTTTTGTTGAATATATAAATATGTGAAGTCAATCTCACATTTTGAGTTAGTTTTTGAAATTAACATCCAAGCGTGATGACTGCAAAGTAGACATTTGACTCAGACCCACGTTAGGCATAAGGGTGGATGTGAAGTTGATATTTGTGTCGTTGGAGTTTGTTTGAAATCTCACATTGCTTAGATTTCCGAAGTGTTGAATGTATAAATATCTGAGGTGACCTCACCCATTGAGCTAACTTTTGGAATAAAGATCGAAACATATTTAACATGGTATTAGAGCCCAGTTTCTATCAAACCACTCACCATTAGTTCCACACTCCAGACATTCACCCTGAATGTAAGAATGAGTGTTAAGAATCTTATATTGAACAATATATGACATGAACATATGCTTATAAGTGAGCAATCATCATCTTATAAATCTATTTTATAAGTACGAATTAAGCCTAATTACACATTCTAAGAGCTTTGGAAAAAAATAAAACATAGAAAAAAAGTGAAACAATATAACACAAGAAATTAATGTGAAAAGTCTAAAACTAAAGAAAAAACCACGACTAAGGCTAGACATCTTCAAGAGCCTTCCAAGGTGTTAATTTAGACTAGACATCTTTAAGAGCCTTCCAAGGTGTTAATTTAGATTTCCTTTCAAGGTGTTAATTTAGATTTGATTTAAGAGCTTTCAAGTTAATCCATCAGAGATAAAATGGAACCAACATAAAAAAAAAAATTAGAAGGACCTATATGCTTTGGTTCTTCCTTGTGTATCTAAAATGGGGTTTTAAGACTACACGTGAGGTTTTAAGACTACACATGTTAATAGCATGTTCAATTTGACTTAAATTGATACCATATTAATTTGAAGTATTAAATTCTTCTAAAGTAAAATTGATTTTAGAATGATTTTGAAATGTTTGATTCTTTCCTACTGAATTCTACTTCAAAAATACAACTACCAAATTTGAACATAATTTTTACACTAAAATTTATTCATTAATTCACTTTTACATAAACATATAAGACATATCAATTTCTAAACTCAATTATATTAAATTCAATTCTATTAAACTCATTCTATCAAAATTAATTTTATTCAACACCCATCCAAAATACACACAAAATAGACAAGCTCTACAAAATATCATTTCATCATCAGCATAGAGACCGTGTGAAAGGACATTAGCGACTCCGGGACAATGAATGAGCTTAAGACTTCCATCATTTTTCTAATGGCATAAGTTAACACTTCCATCATTAAGTAACTTGCTATAGCTTCTACTTAGTACTTCCTTCAAGAATGACCTTTAAGACTTTCATCATTAACTAGCTAGCTATTGCATCTACTTAACTACTATTGATTAAAATAGTATATAAACTATGAATCCATCAAAGAAACAATAGTTTGCATCATCAATAAAGTGAATTGCACAGCAAAAGTATGAACAAGAAATTCAAATGCATACATTTGCCTCAGTTAAATCCATAAATGTCATATGAAAGTAGCTTCACCAAGTAGGTTCATCCTGTAAACAGGATCTTGGCTCCACAACATCTCCAACAATTAGATTAAATCATCATCAGCAAAATCATCATTCAATTAACAATTTAACTTATTTCAAACAAAATTAAACCCATTACAAAAATAATCATTTAAGAGACTCAGAACACTTAACGGCTCTAATTGAAATGACAAAAGATAAACAATTCGAAATCGTGAATTAACGAATGTTGCCATTACTTTGACACAGATCAGTCGAGGAATTAGTGAGATGAACTGCAACACGAACGGCGTCGATTTTGCATCTGCAATGGGGCTTTCACGTCATGGATAGATCGGAGAAGCCCGGGGTTGCAACATGCGTTTAATTTGATACAGAATGAAATAAAGTTGAGAAACTCACGCTGATTTGAACCGAAGCGGCGAAACCCTAATTTGATCTATGTTGAAATGATACCGAACGCAGAGGGCTTATATAGGCGCAACAAAAGTATAAAAAATCAATTATTATAAATAAATAAATAAAGGTATAAAAATCCAATAAATTAGTCATTTATCTCTATTAATATAACGTAGTATAAAAAATGGAATTTAATATGAAATAAAAAAAATTAAAGGAACTTAATGCTAAATTAATAGAATAATATGTCTAAAAAATAATTAAAAATGATTTTTATTAAAAATAGATTTTATAAAATTAAAATTATTATCAATTGCATCTAATTCACTATAATAAATAACTTTAATATAAATGTGTTAGGGTTTTGGCGATTTCTAGAACGATTTTCGGCAATTGCAGGGCATGGTGATTTTCAATTTTCTTCGCAATTCACACGGTTCGTTTTCTCGTTGACATGGTTTAAAATCCTAGACTTTGATGTAGGGACCAAATCAGTGAGGTGACAACTGTCTTTATGGTTCAAAGACTTCGGTATTGGCCGAAGAAACTGACGGCGGGTGAAAGTGTTCTCACCTTACCCTTTTGCACACATGAATACTTGACACAAATTTGAAACTAACGACTCAAAGGAGAATGTGATAATCAGGAATGAAGGACAACCCGAGATGGAGGCAACACTGTTTCTGAGCATGCATCAGTAAGGGGCTCCCTTGGAAACAATCATTGAAGAGGCGAAGGAAACAATTGAAGTGGATGATAGTAAAGAAACAAAACAACCTTGGGAGGAGATAATTAGAGATAATCGTCTTCCTTCCAATGACATTGAAATAGATAACACTGCTCGAACAATTGTTAATGGGGAAATTGAGGTTATTATAGAAGAACAAGATATTCAATCTGAAATGAAATTATGGGAAAATGAGCTTACAATGTATGTCATATGAAGGAATTTGTCTATGAATATTGTCAAGAAGTATATGATTAATATGTGAAACTTTGTAATCCTACCTGAATTGTATTACAATGAGGAGGGTTACTTTATCATTAGATGCAAGACAAAGCAGTATATAGACGAAATTATGAGAAGAGAACCTTAAACAATTTACAAACAGACTATGTTCCTACATGAGTGGAATCCTGATTTCACAATGGCAGGTGGAATTCAGGGTCACAATGCCACAACTACCTTTGATATACTGGGGAGAGTTGAGTATTGAGAAAATTGCAAGTGTTATATGGAAACCTCTTATGACAGATGAAGGTACTGCTAAAACATTAAGGGTGTCCTATGCTAGAGTGTTGGTGGAAATAGATGTAACCACTAAACTAAAGGAAAGCAACGCCATAAGAGACCACAAAGGCGACAAGATTCAACCGAAGGTGGCGTATGAATAGAGGCAATAGATGTAACCACTAAAGTAAAGGAAATCATCGCCATAAGAGACCACAAAGGCAACAAGATTCAACCGAAGGTGGAATATGAATGGAGGCCACCATTTTGTGAGAAATGAAGCAAAGTTGGACATGTATGTCAAGTTAAACAGATGAAGAAACAAAATAATCATATTTGGGAAGAAAAAAAAGAAAATTGATCAGCCAAAAGAAAAGGAGCAGCAACATATAGAAAAAACACATGAACATGAAGAGAATGTAATGGATAACTCAAGCTGGACAGTTGTAAGGACATCCAAGCATAGAGGAAAGGGGATAATGGTAGATAGTAATACTTTAACTAATGTTGGAATAGGATGCAACAATAGATTTGATGTGTTATGAAAGGGATTTGATCCACAAGTTTTTGAAAACAAAGTCCCATGATAGTTTCTAGGAATGTGGGAGACATAAATAAAAAAGCTAGGCACATTGAGGTTGGTGCCCACATCAAGAAACTTAAGGTGTTGTGTGTAGCTTTGATTGAAACTATAGTTAAAGGTCTTAATGCAAATAAAGTTAGAAGAACTTTTGGGAATGTGATACGGTGAGAGAACTGACTTGAAGGTTTTGCGTTTGATCGCAAATGTTGCGGTTAGCAAGAGTCACCACCGACTTTTCTTTTATCTAAAAGGAAAGGTGAAAAAGCACAGGAAAGACCTTTGAGATTATTTCTTGAGTTCGGGGGGTAGATTATGAAAAGGAAAGGTATTAGCACCCTTTTCATCCATGGTTTTCCATGGGCTCTTAGTTACTTGCTAGATCACTTGCTTTTTTGTTTGAAATTGTGCTTGGTGTGGTTTTTGAAAGTATTTTGTAAAGAGGTCATTGTTTAGGCAATCTTTGTAATGATTCTTGGTTGTAAGAATGTATACAAAGATGTTTGATCTTTTGAAAATGTTTTCAATTTTATAAGATGTTTGAAAATGTAGGTGTTTGTTTTGAAGATAGCAAGGATGTTTTTTTTGAAAGGGAGCAAGTAATTAGGAGTATTCTACCTACTCAAATGTCTTTCTTGTTCATTTTCTTTTCCTTTGACATTGTTGTCTAACCATTGATTTAGTAAGCAACTATCTTTGGATGTAAACGGGACGGGCACGGGTCATCGTATAACCATGATTAGCAATGTTGCAAGGTATCTTAGAATTCTTTTTTAGGGACTAATATCATTTGAAAGGCAACTTAGGTAGCGTCATCGAGGGACTTATGATCTTGTATTTGCTTTGTTTTTGCTAAGATACCTCACATGCGTAATATGGTCATTTTGTATAAGGCAACCAAGTGGAATAACCCTAGGGGTGCTTGTGTGTAAGTGTATCATTTTCATGCTTGTTTTTGTCTTGAATTAGGGTTTTCTAAGTATTTATTGTAGTCTTTCCATACAAACCCTAATTACTAGCATTTGTATATAAAAGCGATAAATTGCGGAATTTTAAAGTTACTACGCTATTACAACATTTATGGGGAGGGGTGTACAAATTGAATGGGGATTGCAAGAATGTAAACCTAGTTAATTTATTACAACCAAATTGAATGTGTATTAATGGACAAGGAATTAAAATAAGTAATGTACAAAAATGAATAAGTGTACAAAAATGCAAAATATAAAGAAAATGGGTCTTTGTTTGGTTTTCATGAGAAAGAGGGAAATTGTTTTAACCCAATTAATTTAAAGAAAATAATTAGTCAAGTTTAAATTTATTAAGAAAAGATTTTTGAATAAAATCCTAATTCTATTTAGTTGATTAAAAGAAAATAAGTTTAGAAAAAAGTATTTTTGGTATTTTTGTCTTGAAAATATTCATGGTATTATAAAATATTTTTTGGCCTTTTTTAATATTAAAAAATATATATTTTAATAGGTGTGAAAAGAAAAAATAAATACTAACATAGTTTTAATTTAATTTATAAGACTAGTTAATAAAAATAAATAATGTATAGTTAAATAAAATATTTTTTTATGAGAAAAAATAAAATAAACTAAGTTAAAAATAAAAATCTAATTTTTGTATTTTTTTAATATTTAATAAAAATGATTAAGAAAATATAAATGAAATAAATAAATAAAAATAAATAAATAAACTTGGGCCAGGGGGCGCAAACAGCCTGTAGGGGGTTAGTTAGAAAAAAAACAAAATGAGCAGGCCCAAGAAGGCCCATCGTGTCAAAAAAGAAAAATCAGAAAACAAAAAAAATATGAAAAATCCAAAAGGGTACCACTAGGGCTCGAACCCAGGTCCCAAAGGTTACAGGCGCGCGCTTCTACCACTGGGGTGGCTATGCATCCGTTAACATAAGCAAAACAATAAATATACAAGGCAAAACGCGCCCTGAAGACTTCATCTTCAACCTCCAGCCATACCAATTGTAACTTGCTCATTTCTCATCAAAAATGAAAACTGTAAACATGAAACTTGTAGCAAATTTTCTCACGGTTTCAAAAATGTAAAACATTAAAACTATAGATCAAAGATAAGCATGAATTTTAATGGCCCTAATCCGAACCCTAAATATCTCAGGAATTTCAGTTTCAAAATTCTCTAAGCTCAAGCAAAATTAATGGAAACTATCAACATGGTTAGCTTCAGGGCAATGATATCTACATGTTTTGTTCACAAATAAATTATTGATGATGCCTGTATGAAGAGTTTCAAGTTGAGAAAACTTACCTCAAAACTGGAAATTGTGTTTTGAGTTTGAGCTTGTTTCAAGTGATGGTGATGACCAGGTTAGCTTCCTTGAGGTCCTAGGAAGCTAATGTAATGGTTTGCTTGAGTTGAGAGTGGATGAAATGGTATGGAGAAGTCAAGTTGCAGACTCTGTTTTTTGGTTATGGAGGTTATGGTAAATGGTGTTACAGTTATGGAATAAGGATGGGGATGAGTAGTATTTGATGTAAGGAAGCTTTAGGAATGAATTTGAGGGAAAACGCACGAGGGAAATGGGAGATACAAGTTTAAGGTCAGAACTGTGTATCAATGGAGCTTTTTGTGAAATTTCTGGCTAGAGGGGATTTGAGAGTGTTTCAGGGTGCTAAAATTCTCCCCTTATCTCACAAATAGTGACTCTATTTATAAGCAACAAGTTTGGAGTACTCTAGTTGATCAGAATTCAAATTTACATGTTTAAGTTCAACATGTGATTTTTTGACAAAACAAGTTTCCATGCCTTGTACTTGGTTCATAGAGTGGTTATGCTTTAAACAAGCTTGCTTCTGACTTTATGGATGGAGTGTGATCAGAGGGAACAAGTTAGAGGCTCAAGAATGGACTTTATGCAAAAAACTTGCTTTACAAGAATGGCAATGTTAACTTTGTGCCATTAATGGAAATGCAACTTGGATAATAGCTCAATTGCTTGGATCAAATCCCTAACAGTTGTGTAAACATTTAATTATGGAGTGACAAAAAATTTTGAGGCCTACAAAGCAAAGATTATGCAGCCTAGCATGGATTTGGTTCATGTGTTCATCAAAAATGACTTGTAATCCAAGTGATGAAACCCTAACTTCATCTATTCGATTCTCCCTACTAAAGAATGATCTCAAGGAGTTCTTGGACATTTTGGAAAGCTTGCAATGTGCTATACAACCCATATTTGAATTTCATTTGAATATTCACCTTGGAACTATATGAAAAATTACCATGAAGTTGGGTCAAAATCCTAACCAAATTAGGGCAAAATTTCACTAAGTGTTTAGTTCCATGACCACATGTTCATAAAATTATAACTTGAGATCCAAGAACTTTTGGAAGGAGTTGTGTAAAGAAAAGTTGTATATTTCATGGAGATATACAACTTTCATGTTGTAAGTTTCTCTTGAATCATCTTGCATCATGGTGAAAATTTTGTTCAAAGTTATGAAAAAATATGAAATTTCCAACACTTAGAAAAATTTCTAAGTTTAGAAATTTTGACTTTTCAAAATAAAATCTTGACTTTTTGATTTCTTGATGAACAAGTTTCATATTTTGACATGTTTTGATGAATTATGATCTTTGGCACTTGAATTTGACCAAAAAGTCAAAGTTTGACTTTTCAATATACAGTTGACTTTTGATCCGTTGACTGCAAAATTCATTTGTCAATCCAATGGACTTGCAATGTTTTGAACCATGTCATTAGGTAAAAATGATGAAATTGGACTCTTGAGATCATTATTTAAACCAATTGACCATTTTCTAGGTCAAAAATTAGAAATTGCCCTTTCCCAGTCAAAACCCTAATTTTGACCATTTTGCCCTTTGGGAGATTTGATCA